CAAAGTTAGCACAAAATTCTCTCAAGTAGTTTTACATGTATTTATTTGGTGTGTGTGTGTGTGTGTGTGTGTGTGTGTGTGTGTGCATGCACATGCGCACTCACACACACATGCATATGTGCCACAGCCCAAAAAAACATCCTGCAGGAGTCAGTTTTCTCCTGACACGTGGGTCCCGGGGACTAAACTCAGGCCAGTAAGGTTGGCAACAAGTACCTTTACCTGCTGAACCATCTCTGCTCAGTTCAGTGGCCCTCAAAAGTGTTCTTTCTTTAAATATTTTAATTGAATTTTTGTGATTTTCATATACTATATCTTGATGGTATTTAGACCCCTCTCTTATCCAACCCATAGAGTATAATTTATGTCTGAAAATGTCCTTCAGGGTGGGTCCATCCACTGGTGCCTGCTTAACCTGCCAAGAGCCCCATCCTTGAACGGGATACTCTCTCCCCCTCCTACCAGCCATGGTTGCTAGTAGTTCCTCAGGTAGGGTTGGGTTTCTTTCCCACTTCCCTATGTCTGTGCTGGGATTTTGTCTGGTTTGAGCACATATTCTTAAGCTTCTTCAAAGAACTATTAAGATTCGTCTATATGACATGCAATTTGTTTCCATGAAGCAAAGTGATAACAGTCTCTTCAGGGAAAATTCTTAGGAGGTGTAGAGGTCTATCAAATGCTTTATAGATCAAAATGTAGAGTGGGTGCTGTAGGAAATTTTGAATAACTCTGTTTCTATACCCTTCAGATGCCTGGGGTGTTGCTTGTTATATTCGACCCATTCCAATATGTGTTATCTTCAGTTAATCTTCATTTTGAGAATTTTTGAATACATTCAGCTTTAGAAATAATTTTTACTTTTAAAATTATTTATTTATTGTGTATATGAGTGTTTTGCTAGCATATATCTAACTGTATCACATGCATGTAATGCCTGCAGATGCTAGAAGATGGTGTCTGATCCCCTGGAGTTACGGATGGTTGTTAGCAACCATGTGGGTTCTAGAAACTGAACCGGGGTCCTCTGCAAGGGCAGCCAGTGCTCTTAACTGCTGAACCATCTCTCCAGCCTCTAAAAAATTTTATTAATTAAGTTTCTTCTTTTCTACAATTTTGAACATGTACATAACGCATACCGACTACTCTTAACATCCTTCCTCCCTCCCACTCTCTTCTACACCCTTCTTCCCACAAATCCTTCACATTCATGTGCATTTATTTTCTTTTGTGACCCACTGAGTCTAACCAGGATTGTTTATAAGGTCATGGGTTCTGAGATTTCCATTGGAGCCTGGTGGGTCAGCAGTTTGGTATATACAACTAACAACAGTGATTTTCCCCTTTCCTGAAGTTTATCAATTGCCAATAGCTTAGGAAAAAGGGATAAGGCCTCATCAGTCTCTCCTCTTTCCATGACTGATTATTGATAAGGCCAACCTTTTCTTGGGCTAGTGCAGATGTGAGTTAATGTTTGCAGTGGCTGTAACAGGTCTAGAGGCTGGTATTTTGCAGCCTTTACCTTGTCTTCAGGTTCTTACATACTTCTTACCTCGTCTTCTGCAATGTTCCCTGAGCTTTAGTGGGTATGATAGAAATGTGCTTTTGGGGCTGATTCCACAACTGCATCGTGGGCAGCCATGGATCTCTGCATTCACCACTGTTTACTGTAAGGAGAAAACCTTCTGCTGTTTAACTAAAGGAGATGGAGAAAGTCACTTTCCTGATGGATTTTTTTTATCAGATCTAATTACCATCACATCTACTGAACAAGTGCCATGTAGCATTGTAGACAGAGGCAGAAGCTGACCATCTTGTATTGCTAACAGGCACATGCCAGGAAACCACATGGCTGTTGGAGGACGTAAAGACGATCTGGTTCTAGAACACAACCAGGTCCATGAGAGCATCAAGAAATGCTCATGATTGGTGCAATGATTGCATATGTTCATGATGTGAACATAGGAAGCATTTGAATGGCTAAATAAAAATGATTTCTAGAATTGTTTGGAACAAATAAGTAAATCAATATCTACAAATCAAATCCAGTTAAGCACAGACATGAGACATTGTAGACATAGCCACCTACACAATGATATCAGTATTTCTTTATCACTGTGTGGGAAGCTAGGCAGAGGCAGTATATCATACCAACCTGGATGGTATTAAACCACATAATGTCAATTTTCTCTAATTCAAATATCTAAGTGATAACATTATTAATCCTTGTATATTTAAAAATGATAAATCAAGTATCTCTATATTCTTTGAGTTGATTTTTATTTACAGAAAATAGTATTAAGATTCAAGAAGTTGGGCCGGAGAGATGGCTCAGTGGTTAAGAATGCTGGCTGTTCTTGCAGAAGACCCGGGTTTGAATCCCAGCACCCATACTGGCAGCTAACAGCTGTCTGTAACTCCAGTTCCAGAGGATCTAATAGCTTCTTCTGTCCTCCACGGGCATTGCACGACACGGGTGCACTTACCTGCATGCAGGCAATACACGCATACACATAAAATTAAAAAAATACATAAAAAAAAGATTCAAGAAGTGTCCTGGATTTCTGAGCTACTTTATTCTTTGAGGACACTGTTAGCTTTATGTTTAATATTTTTATTAGCTTTTACAGTTACCAATAAACATTTCAAATCATTTCACATTTCTTGACGTAGTTACATTTATTTTTATCAAACACCAACAAATGTTGATAGCTTTTCACATTTTATAAAAATATATTAAAACCTAAAGTTTCTTTAAAATGAGATATCACATGTCAAAATACAGTTCTCAGAGTGTTAAGCATAATTCTCACAAACACAGATACTGAGCACGTGTCGAGATTTCATTTAGCTCAGCCAGCAGGTTGACAAAGTCAGTTCAAGATCTGCACCCATAGCTATAGCAAATCAGACTCATAAACAAATTTTGGTGACAGCCCTGGGGGAGGCCAGTTTTTCCTCTATCAATTATTTGATTTACAGAATCCATTTATGCTGAAAACTCTGGTGATGAGATGAATCCCTTTGGTCCTGATGACTAAGGCCCATGGTTCTTTACTATGCACCAGACTCTTCTGAATGGCGTGGTAAACAGATTACAGCTTCCACCACAGAGCTGCTGTGGGACTTGGGAATCCATATTTCTGACAGGCACCCATTGATGCCTCTGTTCTGGGTGTATTAATTTAAGCAGAGGCTTTGCCTGAAGATCACCTGAGGCAGTGCCATTATTGGTTAACTCTGAGGAAGCCCTGGCAGCCTCTGGTTGGTTCTTCCCATTTCTCCTATGCCATCTCTATTTGTCTTTCCTGTCTCATCTGCACACACCAGACCATCCACACCTATGATCTCCATTGCTAAGTGTACCTTCTTGCCAACACAGCTGCCCTCCATGGAGAGTCCCTGTAGTGGAATCTCAAATCTTTACTAATGATCAAGCTCCCCTTGCCTTTCCCACTGAGTCCCAGTCACCAGATTTGTCCCATTTTTGTCAGTGATTTCAAGTTTACTGCCATCCAGGAAGAGAAGGTTCCAGCTCATATGTTGTAAGATAGAAAACTGGTGGGGGAGCATTTATCATTTGTGAGCACCTCTTAGAAGGGAGAGAGGTTTAATTTTTGCAAATTTGAAAACATAAGACAATCCACCCACTTTTCCATCTTCCAGTCCCTTTTTCCTCTTTTATCAGTGTAGCTTAATCCCTTGTCAAAAGCTTAAAGAACTGCAAGGAAGTGTGAAGACCAAGAGGAAGGACACTGGTCTGGGCACTCTCTGGGACCATTTCTAGAAGTTTGATCTCTATAACTGTGTGCCTGAGGGTTGGAGGAGGGAGAAATTGAACACATGCATCCGGAGTTTGGCGTGATTAAGAATTTATCAGAAGGTGACACACACCTTTGATCCCAGCACTACAGAGGCAGAGGTGGGCAGATCTCTGTAAGTTCAAGGCCAGCCTGGTCTACATGGGGAGTTCCAAGCCAGAAAAATCTATACAGTTAGACCCTGACTCACAAGAAAAACAAAGAAAATTATTAGAAGATGGAAAATAGGATTCATTGAGAGATATTTACTTTTAGAGAGAGGAAACCATTGCAGACAGAAGACAACTTGAAGAGTGGGTAGGTAGATTTCAATAATGTTACAGAAATAAAGTTTCTTGGGAAGAAGGAAGCTAATTCAGAGACTAAACAAAGTGGTTACTTTTGGGAGAGAAGGTTTTTCATCCTAGTCTATTGGAAAGGACGTATTTATATCAGATAGCCTTTAAATCCAAATAAGAGTAATCATTGGCAGTTTTTCAAGTGAGAAACCTAGAGAATGCTAAAGTAGAGGTGCATGGGGATGGCTGGGTCCATGTGGAACAGAATGAGCTTCTCAAGGGACAGCCTGGCACAATGACTTCTTCCTCTTCTACTGGTTTGTCGTCAATAGTGGACAGCGCTGAGGCCAGAGAAAGCATCAACCATGAGCTTGATTTTCTTTCTGTATAATAGATGCTCTCCACAGTCCCAGGATACCCGCAGCGGCCTATACATACATGGCTTCTCATATTTCTTGCAAACTTTAAGTCCTGTCTTACTAGTAGAGAAAGTTCAATCCTTTCCCATTCTGTTCATCCTTTTAGACTAGTGTGGAGAACTGAAATCTAACCATAGGTAGATACTGCAAGATCCCCAAGTTCACAAAGAGCAAGAAAGAAATGCCCCCTCCAAAGCAAACAAGCATCTCCTTAGGTCTTTTCCGATTGTTGGATGTAGCAGTCAAAACCCTCCTGGAAAGTTTTTTATGTAGAAGTTATTTAAGAAGCTCTGTGGGCTATAATGAATGTGAAAACAGAGCCCTGTGCAAACTTCTGTTCCCTGCAAAATGTGATTTGTCTTCTTTCCAGGTTTTTGTTGAGACAGGCTGCTCAGTTACTCCTAGTAGGAAGGAAGCGGAGGGAGGAAAGTCCCTAGTGTCATTCAAATGGAGCCATGAGAATGTATGTGTGTGTCTCTTTCTAGGATCAAGAAACCTCCTTCCCCAGGGCACTCTCAGCTCAGAGGCTGTCCCCTCGGTGGTGCTTCCTAGACGGTGAGTGTTTGTGGATCCCTGGGACTGGGCTGGGAAGGCAGCTGGACATGGCTGAGGCTAAAAGAGCAGCTCTGCTTTTCCCTAAAGATTTTTCAAAAAGTCTTTCTGGGCCTGGCATTTGCATTTCAAATGATACAGACTTACTGATGGTGTTACTAACCTTTCCTGAAGTCAGGTTCCTCAAAGCACCTTGGTCAATACAGGCTGAACTCAGCATCAAATCCTTTAAGTTGACAGTTTCCCTTTATCATCCCCTTTTCCTAACACTGCCTACCTGAAATGAGTGTGGGTCAGGAGCTAGAGTCTGTGATCACAAAATGAGTTCTAATTTCTGTGTTTTGTCCATGTCTTAAAATGTTCATATTATTTTTGTAAGACTCTCATTTCAGTAGAGTGCACACATTTGTGTAAAAAAGACAGTTCAGTTGCATTTGTATCTTCTCTGCTGAGCTCATGTGACCATAACTGTACATATAATGGGTTATCATATGATTGTTTAATGAGTCCATTTGCCATCTTAAGCATTTCTCACTCTCCTAGGTGCTGTCTAAGTAATCCCAATTTCCCATCCAGTTATCTATACTGCAATATGTTCCTGCCTATCTACCACCCAGTCTCTGTTGTATGCATGGAGACAAGGTTTCCCACAACCCCCTTTTATTAATCAGTGTGGCCTATCTAAGAGAATGCCAGGGGTTGAGTGGACATGGGTCTGGTAGCATGTGCAAGGTGCAAACATTTACACAGATGGGCCCATGTATCTCTAAGATCTAATCCACATCCACCAGGATGCAGGTTTTATTCTTGGTCAGTCAACTTTGAAGACTGGCCTCTATTCCATTAGGTCCATAGCAGGGAGAAGCACAGTTGTTTGTCAACTCCCAGGGTCCCAGAGGAGCAGCATATGTGAAATGAGCCCAGGAAGACATTTACATAAGTCATTATGTTCCAAATACAGTCTTAGATAAAACTGTCCTGTGGGTGATGGTCTTAAGTAAGAAACAATTTACCATAGAAAGGGTTCCGCTGAAGACTTTATTGTTGTGACCATTTAAGTTTAATTTTTTTAAGTCAGCACACAAAATTATGAGTTTTGTTAGATACTGAAAACCTTTTATGATTAATATCATGGATGAAGTCACAGTTGAAATCAGAGGAGACAAAGTCCTGCTGGGGCAGATGTTGTTTTAGCCTGTACCTTTAAAAGAAGAACTTTGACTACCCATTTTCCTTCCGAGAAAGGTACTTTTATTAAAAAATCTGATTTTGGCCAGGCGTGGTGGCGCACACCTTTAATCCCAGCACTCGAGAGGCAGAGGCAAGCAGATGTCCGTGAGCTCAAGGCCAGCCTGGTCTACATAGTGAGTTTCATAGTGAGTTCCAGTGGGGCTACAGAGAGACCCTGTCTCAAAAAGACAAAAAATAAATAAATAAATAAAAAATCTGATTTTGCCAGGTGCAGTGGTGCATGCTTACAATTCCAGCACTTGAAGGCAGAGGCAGGTAGATCTTTGTGAGGCTGGGGCTACAGGGAGACCTTGTCTCCAAAAACAATTTGTGATTGTGAATGATTATTTGCATTCTCTTGTGCTGTGTGTTTTTGTTGCTTTTGGTTTGTTTCATGAAAACACTCATTTTTGGACTCCGTTAAATAGATTTAAGGAAGAGCATTACTTTTTTAAATATTGAGAATATTCATGGCATTGGAAAGATTTCTCAGTGGTTAAGCATACTTGCTGTTCTTCCAGATGACCTGGATTTGATTCCCACCACCCACATGGTGTCCGTAGCTCCAGTTCCAGAGGATCCGGCACCCTCTTTTGACCTCCGTGGGCATTGCACATATGTGGTACACTTAGACACATGCAGGCAAAACACTTGTACACATAAATTAAAAATAATAAATAAAATATTTTTAAAAGAATATTAAATTCTGAAATTAAGCTTGTTATTTGCAATTTAGAAAAAATATTCAAGGATCTGGAGAGATAGCTCAGGGGTTAAGAGCACTGACCGCTCTTGCAGAGGGCCTGAGTTCAGTTCCCAGCACCCACACGACAGCTAACAACTGTCCATAACTCCAGTTCTAGGGGCTCTGACTTCCGTGGACATTGTATGACATGGGTACAGGCAGGCAATACACTCAAGCACATAAAATAAAAATAAGAAAATCTTTTTTAAAAGAATATTCAAGTAACTTCAAGTCACCCTAAGTTTATACTTCAGAATTTTTCTTTCTCAAACCACAGATGCAACCCAATTTGATTTAAGGAATGCTTAAAAATTAGTGTTTGCTTTTCCATTTGGCTTTCTTCAGACATGCCTCTGGGCACAGCAGGAAGGGAAAAGATTCCTCTTGGACCATATTGTTTCTGGCCCTTCATCCTCACATTGTTTTCCAAAATAAAAGTCACCTTGCTGGGAAGTCCATCTGACTGCAGTCTCTTTTCTAGGTTTATTTCCTAATAAAACATTGAATCCTTGCTGTGTTAAACATCCTATGCTAATTTCTGGAGATACACAGGAGTAAATGAAACAGAATCTTTCAAAGATACTGGCCTTTTAGTCTTTAGTCATCTCTGAAGACAGTCTCTGAAGAGGTTTAAGCAAAATGTCAGTGGACATAGGGTTAGGAGCAATGGACTAATTGTAGGTGATTGCGCAGAGGAAAATTTCATAGAGATGGAAGTATTTGAGTTGGTTCTTAAAATACAAGTAAGATGCAGGTGGCAGACATGACCGGGAAGCACTTTGGAAGCACGGGAATAGCAGTAGTCAAAGCTTGGGAGTGATGAATTTTGATTAGTAGATTTAGGGGCTGCCCACTGGTGTAGTCTGCCTGTAATGGAAAGGTTTTGTTTGCTGATGCAATAGAAGGAAAAGTATAAATATGGTAACAAATATGGATAACTCTGAATGCCTTGTGCATTTTTCCCCCTAGCAACTTCTGCTGACCGCTTTTATCGAATAGACAGATCTCAGGTAAGTTTCTTTTCAGTCTGTTTATGGAAGGGAAAAGTTCCCATCAGTGCACTGTGTTGATAGTCAGTCTCATACTTTTTACTAACAAAAATATTGAAATGAATTTTAGAATGGTATTCATAATCAAAGCTGTGATGATTTTTCTCTCCATCTTTTATGATTTATGGACTCAATGAAATCGCTTGACCTGGCAAATGGGGACAGATAGTAACTCGGCTAATAATTATTATCACAAGCCTATACTCTACAATTTTCATTCATGTCATACTTGTATTCTATCCAAAGCAAAGCTTATGTCTTTTAAACACATTTCTGGTTCACTAGTGTATGTATAGTCTACTTAGATTAGGTTTGCCAATTCCCAGAGTTCAATAATGAGAAAACAATTACTTTTTCTCTGAGGTTAACAAGTCCTCCTACTGTTCAAATTCTGCTGGAGAAACTGCTGGGTAGAACTGAACCCACTGAAAACCAGCTTTTAACATGCCACTTAGCTTTGAGCACATTCTGGGGCATGAAGTCCAAGCTATTATATACTCATGCTGGGCCAGGTAGTAGGTGGGATGTCACTTCGTTGATACTATTTGGAGAGAAGTAGATATAAACCATTTCTAGTTATATCTAACAAGTTCCTGGTCAAGTGAGACTCCAGAACCAGGATGACTCATCTCTCCTTACTGTCCTCTGCCTGATGAAGCACTGATTCAGGAAGGGTCGTAACTGCTTAGGACCGTGACAGAACAGTAGAATTGTATTACATGCTGCAGAACTCACGCTTCTTCAGATCAGCAATGCTTCGTTCCATTATTCATTAGGTGATGGATGTGATCACCCTGACAGGCTTATTTTTCTTCCTTAGGAACATTTGCACTTTGTGATGGAGATTTCCCACGATGAGGTTTTTATTCTTGACCCAGATATGGTGGTGTCACAGCAGGCGGGGACACCTCCAGGAATGCCTGACCTGGTGGTGGAGCAGGCCTCAGGGTGAGTGTGCTTCTTCTTGGTTGGCACTAGCATCAGGCTGACCACAGGGAGTCCATGTCTCATTTGGCTTTGGACTTGACAGTCTAATGACATGAAACCATTTTGGAATATACATTTCTTTCTCTTTGCCTAGAGTAAGGTGCAGCTGTTTCTGGAAGACTGGCTTCTGAATGTCTGAATAGCAGAGCCCATCTCTAACCAGATTTGTATCTTGTCTGAATCATCTTTACCATTACACCAACATTTTCTACAGACTTAGAAAATAGAAAATACTGTTTTTTTACATTTGTGCACACACACATATTGGTTTTATTTGTTCTATTATCCAAATAAAATATAGACACAGGTAACTGGATACCTCTCCTCCCCCTCCTCCTCCTCCTCCACCTCTTCCTTCTCCTCTTTCCTGAGTGCCTGACACATACCAATTGTTTTGGCACACTTGTATTATTTCTTTTAGTTTATAGTGACCTAATTTTCTTAAGTAGTCTGTGTTTGTTTCCTCATCTCTGCAGTACAGATAATAATAGTGCCTACTCAGAGAACTGTTTGAAGAGTAAATACATTGATGCAGGTAAAACAGACTGCTTTTTGGCACTTGGAAGACATTCATTACATATTATTAAAATCCTCATCATTTCATGATGACCCTACAAGTCCGAATCTAGGATTATACTAAATTTATAGATAAGAATGTTGAGGCTTAGAGTTGTATTGCTTGCCTAGAATTGCACAGATCATTAATGGAAGACCTAAAATTCAGTCTCAGATTTCTCAGATTTTTTTTTTTTTGATGAAGAGCCCATATCTTTAAGCTAAAAGAGGCTTTACTTTTCATCTTGACATGCTTTAAGAGAAGTTGTCAGGTTTTAGAAAGATAAAAATTTATCCTCAGATTTTTATAGTCATTATCTGCTTAATGATCTGTGTGTATAATTTATGTAGACAGCTATTCTCCCAAAGAATCTAGTCAGTATTAAAGAAAAATGCAAATGTAACTATATTAAAAGAATATTTGAGCCAGTCGTGGTGGCACATGCCTTTAATCCCAGCACTCGGGAAGCAGAGGCAGGTGGATCTCTGGGAGTTCAAGGCCAACCTGGTCTACATAGTGAGTTCCAGGACAGCTGGGGCTACAGGGAGACCCTGTCTCAAAAAAGACCAAAAAAAAATATTTGAGATGAAGTCAAAATTGAAAAATTAGTAGAAAAGGATACAAAAGGGGCGTGGATCTTTGCAGTTTTAGGGGGTATTTGGAATGGGTCTAATAAAAATACACTGTATGACATTGCCAGGCTAGACTCAAATTCATAGAGCTCTACCTGCCTCTGCCTGGGGGAAAAAAGGTGTGCACCATCACACCTGGCTAAGGGCTAGTCATAATAGCCAGATTATAGAATTTGCCCATGTAGCCAATGATTGGATGAAGCAAATGTGTTATTTGTTCACAATGGATATTAATTCATCCATGGGGAAAATAAAACCATGTATTTTTCAGGAATACAGGAAAGAACAGGATATACAGAAGATATAAATGTATACAATATAGTTGAACGAAAATATCCCTATGAAACCCATTACTATGTACAGTGAAAATACACCAGTACAAATGAAAATAAAAGGTAAAAAAGAAATTCCAAAGAATTAACAAAAATCACTTAAAATGCCCACATAGCTTGAAGAAAAATTTCTTTAAAAATGAACACTTTAGGGGCTGGAGAGATGGCTCAGCAGTTAAGAACACTGGTTGTTCTTGCAGAAGACCCAGGTTCGAATCCCAGCACCCACATGGCAGCTAACAACTGTCCATAACTCCAGTCCCAGGGGATCCGACAGCCTCTTCTGATCTCCCCGGGCATTGCACAACACAGTGCACTTATCTACATGCGGCCAATGCATGCATGCACATAAAATAAAAAAAAAAATAATAATAAAGGAACATTTTAAAACCACTACTATGTTCATAGTAAAATCTTGATGCCTGGTCCACAGTGAGCTCACTAAAGTAACCACCACCTTATACCACCAAAATGTCATTAATGTATCTATGTTATTTCAAAAATATGTATTTGGAGTTTTTGATGTACCTGATTCTTATGTAAACATGTAAGAACCAATAGTGTCAAAAATAAAAATGGATGAAAATCTCTGTTCTTGTGAAGTCTATAAATGTCAGTGGCTTACTGGTGTATGGAGGCTGCTGGATGAAATATGAATTGCCCAAGAAAGCACAGAAAGTACACTTGGGCACTCAAGCAGATTCTCTATCCATCGCCATACAGCATAAATAAGTGTACTCACCAGAGGGAATACTTACCCCCATTTACTCCTCTTTCCTCTCCCCTTCCTTCCTTCCTTCCTTCCTTCCTTCCTTCCTTCCTTCCTTCCTTCCTTCCTTCCTTCCTTCCTCCCTCCCTCCCTCCCTCCCTCCCTTCCTTCCCTGGTCCATGGTGAGCTCACTTCTTATTTTGTTCATTCTCCCTTCTTTTTTTTTTTTGGTCAATGGTATCACCCACTTCAGCAGAGCCAGCTGCTATCCTAATGCTGAGTGTAGGCAGAAGTGGCACTGTGGGACAGACACAGAGATGTGTTTAGGAAGTTGGAGCCAGTGACATGAGAGCTGTGTTGGCATGATGGAAAAGACTGGTGGGCATGAGCACACCAGGTGTGGGAAAGCCAGTCTGATGTCACATCTTACTACGGAGGTGCAGATTTTGCTTTGGAGTCCACCTGCCTAATCAGGACTCTCGCCACTGATCTGCTGAGGAGTGGAACCACCTGCCAATGAGGCTCTGGACTTTGTTCTCTCAGTTTTTCCATGACAAATAGTCATCCAAAGGGGTAGTTTTGTTTTTGGTTAGAGCTTTGTTAGCCTAGCTCCAAATACTGAAAATCACCTAGAACTTCCCTCCACCCTTGAGTTTTCTTCCGTTGTTCCCTTTGGAAATAAACCAGAAACGAAGATGGGCTTTGTTATTTTCTGTATTACATTTCTCTGCCTGGCTTCATTAATTCTTTATGTGTCTCGTGTGGTAAAATGACTTAATCTTCAAATTCTCTTAGCTCATCTGTAACAAAGGGAGTGAAACCATACAATTAGCTCAGGACTATTGAGAAATGATAAATGTGAAGTATGTACCCAACTGAGATGGATTTCATGTTTCATATCTAGAGACCAGAACCATCACGAGAAAAATTTGAATAAGACAAGCATTGATTTTCTTGTGCCATTTCTTGCCCCAGACTGTCAGACTGGTGGAATCCTGCCCTGCGGAAACGCATGCTGAGCGACAGTGGGCTGGGGATGATCACACCCCACTATGAGGACTCAGATATGAAAGATCTCAGCCACTCCCGAGTGCTACAGTGAGTCTCTTGCTGTTTTCATTGCCCACTGTGATTGCTGGGGGATGATCTGACACACAGGCAGTTCACTAACAGGGTAGACTCTCTTTCCAGTGTCGCTCAGGCTGTCTCACATCTCTGCGTCTCTCTGGGGCTTGACATTCTATTACCTCACTCAACTGCCCAGGTCCTGATGGATCTTTCTCTTCCATATCTCTTGCTCATGAGTTCCCTTGAGACTTTGCATGTGGGTCACTAAACATTTTGAACTTCACTAGTGTTTTCTTTATTGAAGACTGTGTTCGTCAGATTCTTTGCACAGCACAACGTGGAGACTCATATGAGAGTTACAAATATTTATGATGGGACACACCAGCTTTTGTTTGTGTGACCACTTGGATTTATGGCTTCCTTTATCTCAATTTCTGAGCCTAGGCATGTGTGCTTTGTATAATATTGCCAAATAAGTTTGTTGGTTATAGTCATGTGATAGTTTTGTCAGCCTCATATAATCTAGGATGGGAAGAGAGTTTCTGTGAGGGGCTCTTTAGATCAAGTTGGCCTGTGGGCATGCGTATGAAAGATTTTCTTTTTTTTTAAATTTTATTTATAATTTTTATTTTATGTGTATGTGTGTATTGCCTACATGCAGGTAAGTGTACCTGTGTCGTGCATTGCCTGCAGAGGTCAGAAGAGGCTATCGGATCTCCTGAGATTGGAGTTACGGACAGTTGTTAGCTGCCATGTGGATACTGGGATTCAAACCCCGGTCTTCTGCAAGGATAACCAGTGTTCTTGAGCCATCTCTCCAGCCTGGAGAGATTTTCTTAATTGTATTAGTTGATATGGAAGGGCCCAGCATAAAAGTAGGCAACACCATTTCCTGAGTTTGGGCCTGGACTTTATAAAAGAGAAGAAATTAGTTGAGCAGTCAGAATGCATGCACATTGATTCATTTCTCCGCTCTTGAGTGTGGCTATGATGTGAACGGTTACCTCAAGTTCTTGCTGCCTTGACGTCCCCACAGTGAGGGACTGTAACCTAGGATTGTGAGCTAAAATAAACTCTCCCCTAAACTATTTTTGTCAGGATATTTTATCACAGCAACAGAAAGGATGCTAGGACAGATGGGGTATGGTTTGAGTGTGGATACAGCCTCTGTGAGGAAACACATACTGTGTTTGTGCATGAGTCCGTGTAGGAAGCATCCTTTCTCCTGGGGTCTGATCAAGGTTGGAAATTAGCATGCGGGTTGGAGTTTTGCAGCAGTGTTAGTACCTTGGGCCCAGTGAGTCCTCCTGTCTGCCCATTCTTTGATGCAGGAACACATTCTAGAGTGTAGTCTGCGGTCACAAATAAACTCATCTGCACGTACACTTTAACTTTAGGACAATCACCCCACCTTAGTAAGCTCATCATAGTTTGTGAAACTGCGATTTTCTGCAATCCTGTCCAGGGTCCTAATCAAATGGTGACACTGGCCTTATAACATGCAATCTTATCTTTTGGCGGAATAACATGATTACTAAGGTTTTTAGAAGCCCAGGGTTAAGTGAAGAGGCATGACACTGCATTGTTTCTGTTCCTTATGACAAACGGGGAAAAAACGAGAAATGTGAAGCTAATTATTTCACTGGCCAAGGTTCTCCTCAGATACCCTGAGGGCCAAGGGAGACTTCATTTTAATTGCTTCTCTGTATTACCTCTTATTTTCTTATGTGAAGACTAGAAAGAAAAAAAATGAATTGCTGTGGATTTTCTTTTTTTTTTTTTAATTAAACTGTATTGTTGGTTTCTGGTAACATTTTGATTGCTTACAATTCAGAGTGTTTTTCCATTTTCTTTTTGTACAGAATTGGGGCTTGAATAAGGATGAGTCAGCCATCCAGGAATGGCTAAGTAAGTGGCCATCTATCTGTGGGCAGACTAATTAGAAAATTAGAGTTTTAATTATCTGCAGAAATGAATATTAAGCCTTTACAGACCATCTGAGTGTTTCAGTGTACATGTGAATTTCAAAAAATGGGCTGTTATTTCAATCTAGTTTTCTGTGGTCATATTTTTCTTAGAGACAAAACTGATATACAGATCATATTATATGAAATGATTATTTTTGAGGTAATAAACATTCTTCCCAAGAATCACAAACACATGTACCACTTCACATAATAGCCCAAGTCCTTAAACACTTTGTCTAAATCAACTCTTGGATTCTCATTGGGTTACACAATCATCTCTCTGAGTCATTGAAGATACCAAAGGGCTTACATAAAATGATGCTGTATTTGCATATAATTCACTTTTAGATTCTGTATACTACCAAATATAAGGTGAATACTATGTAAGTAGTCATGGTACTGTATTATTTAGGGACAAATAACAAGGGTCTGTACAAATAACAATGTTCAGTACAGTCAGTATTTTATTCAATTCTTTTGAAACTTACTTGGTTGAGTCCATGGATCTCTGTCCACAAAGGGCTCACTGTAGTGTTCTTTTAGGGATTTCCTTTAATTTTAGGTTGATCTTGCCAACTGTCAGATTTCATGGCTATGACTAATACCTGTACTGGTCAGTTTTCGTTGCCAATTTCACACAGCCTAGAGTCACCTTGGAGGAGGGAACCTCATTTGAAGAATCTCCTCCATCAAATTGGCTTGCAGGCATGCCTGTGGGACATTGGCTTGGTTGCTAATTGATGTAGTAGGGCCCAGTCCACTGCAGGTGGTACCATACCAGAGCAGGTGGTCCTGGGCTGTATAGGAAACTAGCTGAGCATAAAGCAGCAAACAAGGCAGTCAGTGATCCAGGAAGCAGCATTCCTCCAGGGTTTCTGCTTCAAGCTCTTGTGAGTTCCTGACTTGACATGATGATGGACCATGACTAGACCTACAAGCCAAACGAACACTTTCCTCTCCAAGTTGCATTTTATCAGTTTTATCACAGCAACAGAATGCAACTAGAATAGAAATACTACCTTAGTGTTTGTTTACTTTTAAATTTATTATTATTGTGTGTGCATATATGTGGATGTGATGGGGGGGCATGTGAGCGTTGTTCCTTCTTTTGTCTTTACATGGGTTCTGGGGGATCCAATGCAAACACTAGGCTTGTGCTCCAAGAACCTTTGCCCACTGAACCATTTTTTAAATTAATTTTAATTGAAAATTTACAACTTCAATACAATATATTTTGATTATATTTAGATTCCCTCTTGGACCTGCACCCCACTTTCTAACCTCCCACCGAAGTTACTTCTGTACTCAGAAAGAATGGATGGATGGGTGGATGGATGGATGGATAGACAGACAGACAGACAGATAGATAGATAGATAGATAGATGATAGATAGATAGATAGATAGATAGATAGATAGATAGATAGATAGATAGATAGATAGATAGATAGATAGATAGATAGATAGATAGATAGATAGATAGATAGATAGATAGATAGATAGATAGATAGATAGATAGATAGATAGATAGATAGATAGATAGATAGATAGATAGATAGATAGATAGATAGATAGATAGATAGATAGATAGATAGATAGATAGATAGATAGATAGATAGATAGATAGATAGATAGATAGATAGATAGATGCCTATAGAGTCAGGTTTGTGTCCCATCATTAAATTTTTTTCAATATATTTTTATTTTTCTGTATATGTTGGGGGGGCATGTGCACATGAGTGCAGATGCCCTTGAAAACCAGAAACACTGAATCCCCCATGAGCTGGAGTCACAGTCTATCAGGAGCCACCCTGCATGGTTGCTGGGAATTGAACTCAAGTCCTTTTAAAGAATAGTACATGCTCTTAATCACTGAGCAATCTCTCTAGTCCTGCTAAACTATCCTGCTGGCTCAAATTTAGCTTTTAAATTAGACTCTAGTATCTATAAAGCATACACATATGCACATACACATATATATGTATACATACATACATACACACATACGTACATACACATACACATATATTCTGTGGAATTACTTAGAAAGCAAACAAGTAACACTCAAGAACTCACTCCAGCTATTGTTCCCAGCCAAACCTCCAAATACTGGACAGAGGCAGTTCATTCATCCCCACTGGCCTCTGTCTGTGTTCCTGACCCACTGACGACGTGTGAACACGTGCACACGCACAGCTTGTTTTAAGTCACATTAAAAGAAAAATCAAAAGCCAAAAAAAATTAAATACCTTCATTCAACTTATTAATCATTGTTTAATGTTTTAAATTATTATTATGTCCCTTAATTCTTTGGGTGGAACATCTTTTTATTTCTTCCTGAGATCATCTCTGATATGAATAGATGTAAGTGAGGTTTGTAGAAGTATCTAACAATGTTAGTAATAGCTACTAATAATAAGATACTTCTACTTGCTTTGCATCCTCATATAATTTTGTTTTTCTCAAAAATTTAAAAATTTTGCTATTGCTCAACAGATGAATAAACTGAGGCTCACAGAAAGTAAAGTAGCTAACCCAGGTTGCCCCCACCTCCCCAGCAAGAATAGTTGAACTGTGGTCAGTTAGATTCATGATTGAGCTTTCCCACTCTCCCACATTATTTTCTCACAGGGACTATGCAAATCCAGTGTGCTGAGTTCCAGAACTATTTATCTGGTTTATATTTCTTTTGAACATTTATAAAGTCAAAAATTCAATAATATAGAGGTACTGTATATGCACATTAAATATACAACTGTAAACTTACCCTAAAGCAAACAGAGCTGAGAATTAATCTTAAAACTTCTTTCTTTTCTGTTTTATAGAAAAGATTGACCAGGGTTATAGTTTATTGATAGAGTGCTTGCCTAGTTTGCATAAGGCCCTGGATTCAATCCTTAGAGTGGAAATAAAAATTAAGACATGATTGTAATAGAAAATACTATTGGAAGACTTCTATTTAAAAATATTGTATAAGTTCGGCCTGGAGCGATGGTTCAGAACTTAAGAGCACTGACTGCTTGTGCAGAGAACCCAGGTTCGATTCCCAGAACCCACCTGGTGGC